GGATCGAACCCCGGGCCACACGCATGCCAGGCGATCGCGCTACCGCTTGAGCCACATCCCCAGCCCTAATTTGCTATTTTATTTACAGACAGGATCTCACTGAGTTCCTTAGTGCCTTGCTTTTGTTGAGGCTGGCTTTGAACTTCTGATACTCCTGCCTCAGCCTCCCAAGCTGCTGGGATGACAGGCATGTACTACTGTACCTCGCCAGTATATTTGTTTTTAATTGGAAGGTCAAAGACTGAGCCAGTGAGGCATGTATGGGTGGGCTGAGAGGAAGGGGCCACTGGAACCTAGTAGTAACTGGAGGCAAATGGGAGCTTGCTGGGGATGCTTGATAAATTTTGCTGTGATATAAACACTGCAAACTTTCTGTGTCCCATGGAAGTCTTCAGCAAAACTGACAAAGCTTGCTGAAGCTTTGTAACATCTAATTTGCTTTTGGTAGATAATGGAGTGTTGATACCCAGAGAAAAATATCCTACTTCATAAGAAAACAGATGAAATTCAGTTATGAATATGAGATAAAGGAAAGCAAAGAAGGAAAGAGATCCCTCAAAATCAAAGCCAGTGGAGAAGAGGGGGCAGCCTGTTGTAGAAAACATTCTAAAAAGAAAAAGAAAAAAGAGACACAAACCAAGGTGATTAAGCTAGTGTTTTTAAAGATCTAATGTGCAACAAAGAAAACACTAATAGCAGGAAGGAAAGTAGACTACTACAGAGAAAGTGTCTTTACACTCTGTTAGTGAATAAAATTATGGCAATTGCAGGTAAATGGATGGAGTTGGAAAACATCATGCTAAGCAAAGTAAGCTAACCCTAAAAAACCAAAGGCCAAATGTTTTCTCTGATAAGTGGATGCTGATCCATAGTGGGAACAATGAAGGAACTTTGGATAGGGGAAAGGAGAGTGTGGGGAGTGGAAAGGGCATGGGGGTAGGAAAGATAGAACGAGACAGACATCATTACTCTAGGCACAGGTATGATTGCATGAACAGTGTGACTCTATATCATGTATAACCAGAGAAATAAAATGTTGTGCTCCATCTGTGTACAATGAATAAAAATGCATTCTACTGTCATGTATAATTAATTAGAACAAATTTAAAAAAAGAACTAGTAGTGCAGAGCTGTGACTCTTAAAAGAAAGGGGGGCAAGAAGGCAAAAAGGTACGCTGCTTAGCTGAGGAAACCAAGAGAAAAGGAAACTTGCAAAGCAGCTTTCTTCCCTTCTTCTATAGTGTTCTGTATGGAACCCTCCAATCCTTTAGGAAACACAGTGGATGGGGCCACACTTGAACCATTTGTGTGGACCCAAATCCTTGGAGGATTTTATCTGAGAACTAGACTCATGGCTTGTCTGAAGCAAGAAACAACAAGGTATAAAAGGAAATAAAAAGGTGAATTTCACTAACAACAACAATTTACTTACCTGCTTAAAATATTTTAATGAATACTGATACATAGGATCTATTTCCGAGAGACTTGCAATAACAAAGTACATAACAGAGCCTCGAGTGGCTACTGGACGATACTTCTCACGAGCAGCATTGATCATCAGCTCAGTGGACTCTKCTTCTTTCAGTCTGGTTTTAATGGCACCGGAAGTGATCTGAATAAATACATAAGTTCTTAAGGATGTAATTCAGAAAAACAGTGGGAATTTTGATATATCCAGTCAGGACTAAGAAAGAAGAATGGAATGAGTTGGTGATTATAATAAGGGAGACTCCAGATGCAATGATTGTGGGTCAGAACTCAATCATTCTCCTCTGACTGRGCTGACCCTTGTTCCCTCCAGAGTTTGGAAAAGGTGAAGAGAAATAGGCAATTTAATTAGCTCTGAAAAGATTGGAGCAGGACTTCTCTGAGTCACATATTTGAGTTACTTCTTAAATGGAAACACTAATGCAGCATGCCTAATTGCTCCCTAACTTCCATGTGAACAGTGCATGGTACACATGGTGAAATAATGTCTGAAGGAAGAAGGGACACCCTGAACAATGCCCAGCATAGTGGGTGAAGAGAGGCTGGATAAAAGTGGTCCTAAATTCTACCCTGAACAAATAGGATGATAATGTTCTTTACCCAGCACTCCCAGGTGTGAAGTGCTATAAACCTAAGTGAGTTGGAGACATTTTAAAGTCTTTGGATATTCTTTAGGTTTTCTGTATTTGGAGTTTGAGGCTCTGGGGAGTCTTTTAGCCAATGGACTTTCCAAGATTGCCTTCTGTGTCTCTCAGATTCTCTCTTTCTGTTACCATCTGTTCCTGTTTCCTCTTCTTTCCCCTATTGTTTCTCTATCTCTAGAGAGTCAAAGGGCTTCCAGGAGGACCATGAAAAATCTGTATGGGAACTGGCTGCTCAGCATTTGCTCAGTGGAAGGGAGAGCTAACTGGGAATCAGGAGACTTGTGTCAGTGCTTTCCAGTAGAAATATAATGTGAGCCACATATAATCCAGAATTTTCTAAACTCATTAAAAGCAAAGAGAAACAAGTGGAATGAATTTTAATAATACATTTTGTTTAACTCAATATAACTAAAATATTATATAACGATCAATATTAAAAAGTATTGAGCTGTTTTACATTTTTATGTAAATCTTTGAAATCTGATGTGTATATTATAATAACAAATCTTAACTCAGACTTGTCACATTGTAAGTGCTCAATAACCACCTATGGCTAGTGGCTTCCTACCATAAGGAAGACTATAAGTCTAGACTTGTTCACTCCAGCCCACAGGAAAAGAAGGGGAGGGATTCAGTGCAGAAGCTGTCTGGGCATCAGAAGTTTCAAAGTCTCCTTGTAACTGCCCCTCAGGAAGCTGGGGGAAAATAAAGGGTGGAGTCAAATGGGGAATTCCTTATTAAAATAAAAAAACTTATTTTTTTCATTGTAGATGAACACACAGTATCTTTATTTATTTTTGTGTGTTGCTGAGGATTAAACCCTGTGCCTCACACATGGGAGGCAAATGCTTTACCACTGAGCTACAGCACCAGTCCCCCAATCTTAATAATGTACTCAACTAAAACTTGCACAAATGAGTAGAAAAAGAAAGTTGGTATGGGAGCAATCCAATCATGAGGACCCACTAGCAAACAGTTCTTTATTCTCTGAAGAGCACAAAGCCCAGATAATTCAGAACCCATTGTTGAAGAGAAAGAGTAGTGGATCATTTTCTTTCTTTCTTTCTTTTTTTTTTTTTTTTTTTTGGTCTGAGAATGTTAGAACATTATATACCTTGGTTGGGGGTTTGGCAACCACTTACAGAAATTATGCCCTAGAGTCATGAGGCTTCAGCAATGGTTACAGAATATAAGACATATTTTAAAATAAGGATTACGGGAGTTGGAAGAAGTACAAACTATAGGTAGAAAGTAGCAGGAAATATAGGCAATGATCACTTGGTCTGATCTCTACAAAAAGGGATGTCTCCAAAGCATTTCCTTGAAAATAAATAAAAGGGAGGCAGTCAGCGACCACCATCCGGGAAAGCTGAAGGATACACCGCCACTCTGCGACAGACTGCAACATCAAAACAGGTGTGTGTCACTCAGCTCACCCCCCAGACATCGGGGAATTCGTATAAAATCTCTCCTAGGCTTTCCGGGGGAGGGAGTATCAGAGTGAGCCTGCATAAAGACTAGGGGGAAACTAGAGACACCTGACCTCCAAGCCCTCCTTCCAGCAGCAGCCAAAACGAAACCTGGCTAGCCAGCGCTGGGGGAGGGGCAAGCAGAAAAAATCAAAGTGATAGAGTGCCGGGGATCCCAACAGCCA